CCTGTCAATAACTAGAGCTGCGACACAATACACACACACACACACATATATATATATATATAGACATGTTACCTGTCAATAACTAGAGCTGCGACACAATACACACACACACACACATATATATATATATATAGACATGTTACCTGTCAATAACTAGAGCTGCGACACGATACACACACACATATATATATATATATGTATAGACATGTTACCTGTCAATATCTCAGAATACAGAGTACTCAATTGTATAAAACGAATATATACAAAATTTTAAAATCAGAACATTATTTTATTAAACTTTAAAAAAGAACCATGCCAGCACAGGTCCTTTGAAATAACTTTAACACTGACAATATATTTATATTATAAAAATTTACTAGTTCTTTTTTTTGTATATTAATACATCTTCGCAGCAAAGTGTATAAATACACTTGCTTTTTGGTCTTGGTGTATGATCTCTTACTCACCACTTCCAAGCAGCACTGATGAGCTGTGAATTCGGCGAAACTAGTCTGCTGCTGCGGAAGTGGCGAATCAAAGAGTAGATTAATCGTCTACGTCATTTTTTCTTCACTGAAATCCACAAATAAACACAGCCGGTCAGTTTCTCTTTTAGCTTTCCCATTCTTGCAAGATTCGCCAATTGGAAACCGCACGTCAAGATGTACCATAGTAGAACATTCGCTCTCAACTGTCACACACGAAAAAAACAACAACAATATAATTAAGACGTACAACTAGCGGTAAATGTCGATCCCGGAGTCAGGTGTGAACTGAGAAGGGGTCATGAAATGAAATGTTTGACACTGACACGGTGCTACGTGACACACCAAGCAACACGGTGTCAAATTCAACTGTCGTTCGAAGTCCATTAACTGCCCCAAAAAGTTGAAATTTGGCGAAATGTTAGCTTTTCGTTGTCGAACAAAGTCATAAGCATCATTCAGAGGCATGTTCATTTTCTGCATTAGGTAAGCTAAGGTGATAGTTACTGACCGACTAACTCCCGCCAGACAATGCACCAGTACACCCTGTTTTCTCTGGCGGGCTTCATCTGTAAATATAGAAAACGGAAAATATTACTTATAATATCTTAAGTAATGTATCCGAAATAATACATTGTGGCGCCATCTCTTGACTGGCACCACAAACAAACAAACCATAAATACAAACTTTAAAACTAATTAGAAAGATACAAAAACATTACTCAGATATTAAAATAATTAGCTAATATTTGTTTGTTTTGAATTTCGCGCAAAGCTACACGAGGGCTATCCGCGCTAGCCGTCCCTAATTTAGCAGTGTAAGACTAGAGGGAAGGCAGCTAGTCATCACCACCCACCGCCAACTCTTAGGCTACTCTTTTACCAACGAATAGTGGAATTGATCGTCACATTATAACGCCCCCACGGCTGAAAGAGCGAGCATATTTGGTGTGACGGGGATTCGAACCCGCGACCCTCAGATTGCGAGTCGAGCGCCCTAACAACCTGGCCATGCCAGGCCTAGCTAATATTTTAAAGACAACTTGTGGAAACACGATGTAAGTCGATTCATTGATATCTTTTGTAACATAATTTGACGACTGTCATCCACAAACACGATGGCGACGGACTGGTCCTATGATAGAGCTGTGGATTTCGGAGCTGGTGATCCGGGTTCGAATTCATGCGATATCACCCCCCCCCCTAACACTACTGGTGTGGTATGAGCGATAACAACCTCCTTCAAGAAGATGGTAAGATGCTGCTTATTAGCTATTTTCTCTCTGGGCAGTAGTTTAACATTAGAGAAGATGGCAGATATCCCTAATAGCTTAGTCATGGATACCAAAGAAAAAATATACAAAAATAATGTTTTGGGTATTCAGAGGTATTTAAAAGTTCCTTTACATAATTCTCGTTCATACAAAATGTTCAACTTCAATTACACCTTTAATTACATCTTACTATAATGGACGTAGCGTGTATGTGTGTGTAAATGTATGTGTCCGAAATAATACATTGTAGCGCCATCTCTTGACTGGCACCAAAAACACACAAACCATAAAAAAATTCCACTTTGGGTATTCAAGATACAGACAATTAGAAAAATAACTACGGTATGTGCAACAATCATTTCTTTATCACAGAACACAATTTTAATTAAAAGTACTCCCCTCACAAAAAGAACACGACATTCATTGAGACTATATGTGAGGGTTTGATTGTATCTTTATTGTTTGTTTTGGAATTTCGCGCAAAGCTACACGAGGGCTATCTGCGCTAGCCGTCCCT